TTTTTTTGGAGACAGAGTCTAACTCTGTCACTCAGGCTGGAGTGCAATGGTGTGATCTTGGCTCACTGCAACCTCTGCCTCCTGGGTTCAAGCTATTCTCCTGCCTCAGCCTCCCAAGTAGCTGGGATTACAGGAGTGCACCACCACGCCTGACTAATTTTTGTATTTTTAGTAGAGATGGCTAGGCCAGTCTTGAACTCCTGACCTCAGGTGATCCACCTGCTTTGGCCTCCCAAAGTGCTGGAATTATAGGCGTGAGCCACCATGCCTAGCCTCCTCTCCGTCGTTAATCACACTTCGCTGATTTGGAAGTGAAGCCTACAATGAGGAGAGCATCTAGTTGTCACTTAGTTACCCTGAGTGGTCATTTATGAGTAATTTTTTATTCCCCCAAGCCACTTTTAAGTAAGGCTCTCCAACGCTCACTGCTGCCTTGGTGGACCTGCTTTGGGGGTTACTGGTCGGGTCCAGCTCCCCAGTTTTGCTCAGACTGAAGCTAGAAAATGGAACCGTTCTCAGCAGAGTCCAGATGAGACCCTGCGGGGCCCAGGCCCCCTGCTGACCCTGGGGGCTTGGCTTGCTCTGAAGAAAGTTCTGCTAAGTGATCTCTCTACCTCCTTCCCACAGCTGTCAGCAACTACTTTGGGGGCAGCTGTGTCCCTGGGGCAGGAGAGACCGGTTACGCTGAGTCCCTGTGTAGCCTCTGCAGGGGAGACAGCTCTGGGGAAGGTGTGTGTGACAAGAGCCCCCTGGAGCGATACTATGACTACAGCGGGGCCTTCCGGTGAGTGAAAGTCAGGGGCGGGGAGGGCGGCAGGCAGGGAGGAACTGAGTCCCGCAGGCAGAGGCACTTAAGGCCACAGATGCTGGGGAAAAACACCTTTGCCCAGAGAGGGCCGTGGAGGGGGAGGTGGCGGGGTTGGCTGCATCTTGTCAAAGCACCCTTTATATAGTTCTGTGCCCTGGTTAGTTTAAAAACATCCAGCTGGAATATGCCAAACTGGATTTGCTCATAAAGTCAACATGTTTGGTATATTTAGTGAAGTGAGGGCTCAGAGAGAAGAAAATGGAAAAAACAGCCTTTTGGCCACTCCCACGTCCCCATTCTCAGACCAGCAGGGAGAGGGGGTGGGGGAGTGTGTCTTGACACTTGGGGACGGGCTGTCTCTGCCACTGGTTGAGGCTGGCACCTTGGGTAATCCTTTCGTGGATACAGAAGGGAGTCTCTACCAGCTCGTGGTCCAATTCCATCTGCCTGCAGGGGAGGAAACGTGCTTCCCAGGACTGGAAAGGAAGCATCTCGGGCCCCTTTAGCTACCTCACATTTCCACCTGCAGCGGGGAAGCCTGCTGTTGCCCCACGCTCCAGATGTGATCTGAATGGATGCAGTGTTTGGCTTAGAGAGAAAAACAGTCCTCAGCACCTCTGAGCGGAAGACCCTTGCCCCTCCACTGCCCCATGCCCTTGGCATGCACCCCTTCTCTCTGACTCTCCTGGAGCCTCAGAGCCCTCTCCTGGAGCCTCAGAGCCCTCTCCTGATGTCACCTCTCCCTGACCTGTTCTAATCCCTGCGTATTTTCAGTGCATGGGGACCCAAGCAACCCCTTTGCCCAGGGCCAACCTGCCTCCAACACTGGGCAGTGACATCAAGAGAGCATGTAAAAGTCGATGGTCGTTCCCACTCAGGATTCTGTGGTATGGCATGAAAAGGTCTTCTAGTCCAATCCCCTGCCTCAGAGCAGAATGCGCTTCAAAACATCCTGAAAATTAGCCCAGTATGGTGGTACACACCTGTCGTCCTGCCTACTTTGGAGGCAGAGGCAGGAGGATCACTTGAGCCCAAGAGGTCAAAGCTGCAGTGAGCTGTGATTGCACCACTGCACTCCAGCCTGGGCAACACGGTGAGACCCTATCTCTAAAAACAACGAAAACAAACACATACAAAACCAATCCCCTGAGAGTCAAGGCTGCTGATACAATACACGGAGTACCTGCCCCATGCAGGCCTGAGCTCGGCTGTAGAGGATCGATGCTGGATTATAAAGAACGTCTCATCCTCAGGGCAGCCCTGTGGGAGCTGCTTTCCCACCCCCACTTTACAGGTGATAGGGGCTAGGAAGGGGCCACAATTGACAAAGCCACACAGCCAACCAGCCAGGGAGCTGGAACCCAGACCGCATGACTGGAAAACCCATGCCCACCATGGCTACCCCTTACTGCCCAAGCCAGGCCTCCAGAGGTGGAAGACGGGCAGGGGCCAGGGGCTCAGCCCCATCCAGGCTCACAGCTTCTCCTCCGCAGGTGCCTGGCAGAAGGGGCGGGGGACGTGGCGTTTGTAAAGCACAGCACGGTGCTGGAGAACACTGATGGTGAGTAGGGCAGGGAGGGGCATGGGCCGAAGGACAGGGTGTCAGGCCAGGCCCGCCTGGGGCAGGACCCCTAGATGGCAGAGTTGGGATCAAATGCCCTAGTTCAGTGCTGCTCTGAGTCTCTGGGTGACCATGGACAAGTTCCACCATCTCTGAACCTCAGCACTCCCGGCTGCAAAAGAGCAGAGGCCAGTCTCACCAATGGACAATGGACTGCCCACTGCTGACAGGGCAGGAGAAGGGGGCCAGTGGGCAGCTCTGCTCTGCTCTGATTTGAATATGGCATTGGGTTCAGTTTCCCTCTGAAGACAGGGGTCTGATTTTTTAAAGAATTTGCAAACCTTTGCACTGGATCTCCCCTACCAGCGCTTCCTGGCATTTTTCTGCTCCTGCCTGGAGAATCAGTCCCTCATCCCTGAGAAGGTCTGGCTTAAGATATACGTTGGTGTTATATATTGAGCCGTCATGTCATTGTCATTTAAGAGTTTTTTTAACTTTGAAAGAATTGAGTTTTGGAAAAGTTACAGGAATAATTCAAAGAACTCCCATCTATTCTTCACTCAAAATCTAACTAATTAGCGTTTTTCCACATTCGATGTATGTGTGTATGTATGTGTGTGTGTGTGTGTGTATGTGTGTGTGTGTGTGTTCTGACCCATCTGAGAGCACATTTGCCGATGTCATACCCCTTGAATACTTCAGTATGTACCTCCTGAGACAAGGAGATATGTGTACCTAGCCACAGTAATCAAAATCAGGCAATGCAACTTTGATACAATCCTGTTATCTAATCTACAGCCGATATTGCAGATTCACTAACTGTCCCAGTTCTGTCCTCCGTAGCCTTTTTTTCCGACCAGAACCTACACTCTCATCACACATGGCTTCCGATGTTAGATCTCTTGAGTTTCCTTTATCTTGGAACAATTTCTCAGTCTTTGTTTTTTATGACATTGGCATTTTGAAGCAACAGGCCAGTTATTTTATAGAATGTCCCTCAATTTAGATTTGCCTGAAGATTGTTTCTTTTTTTAAATTGAGATATGATTTACATGCAGCAAAATTTGTTCCTTTTGAAGTATAGTTCCATGAGTTTTGCCAAATACATACGGTTGTATAACCACCACCACGATCGAGATCTTGCAGACCCTTCAGCCCAGAAGCTCCTCAGACCCCTGTTCGTTTGACCCCTGCCACCTGCCAGCAAGCAGCAAACAGACTGTTCTGTCTGTAGTTTTGCCTCTGCCAGAATGTCTGATGATTGGCTTTAAAAAAAAAAAGTCATTGTCATTTTTCGCTGTTATTCATCATTGCCTTTTAAATCAGAAAGTCCATCACGTGGTCCATCATGAAGGCAAACATGGGCCAGATCTGAGAAGGAGGAAAACAAGTGACCTGCACACCCCGAAGCCTGTAAGATGATGTGTACCAGTGCTGGGCGGTCCTGCTCACAGGCCCCGAGACGAGTCAGACAAAGGAGAATTTGGAAGATGGGCAAAGGGTAGGGATATAGATCAGCTTTTTCAAACTTGGGGTTTTTTTAAGATGGGATCTCACTTTGTTGCCCAGGCTGGTCTCAAAGCCCCTGCCTCAATTGATCCTCGCATCTCAGCCTCCTGAGTAGCTGGGATTACAGGCATGCATCTGGAAGCTTTTTCAAAGTTTTTTCTTTTTCTTTTTTTTTTTAAATGAAATAAAGTCTCGCTCTGTCTCGAGGCTGGAGTGCAGTGGCGCTATCTCGGCTCACTGCAACCTCCACCTCCCAGGTTCAGGTGATTCTCCTGCCTCAGCCTCCTGACTAGCTGGTACTACAGGTGTGCATCACCATGTCCAGCTAATCTTTGTATTTTTAGTAGAGATGGGGTTTCACCATATTGGCCAGGATGGTGTCGATCTCTTGACCTCGTGATCCGCCCACCTCAGCCTTCCAAAGTGCTGGGATTACAGGCATGAGCCACCGCGCCCGGCCTTTTATTATTATTATTTTTATTTTTCAGGCAGAGTCTTGCTGTATCGCCCAAGCTGGAGTGCAGTGGCGCTATCTCGGCTCACTGAAACCTCCGCCTCCCAGGTTCAAGCGATTCTCCTGCCTAGCCTCCCAAGTAGCTGAGACTACAGGCGCCCGCCACCGTGCCTGGCTATTTTGTTGTTGGGGTTTTTTTTTTTTTTTTTTTTTTTTTTTTTTTTTTTNCCTCCGCCTTCTGGGTTCAAGCAATTCTCCTGCCTCAGCCTCCCAAGTAGCTTGGATTATAGGCATACGCCACTACACCTGGCTAATTTTTGTATTTTTAGTAGAAACAGGGTTTCACTACGTTGGCCAAGCTGTTCTTAAACTTCTGACCTCGTGATCTGCCCACCTTGGCCTCCCACAGTGCTGGGATCCATGGTGTCCTGTCAGGTGAGCCACTGCACCTGGCCTCAAAGTTTTGATGGTAATCTAAGGAAATCTAAGGAAGTAATTTTTAATCAACTTTATACAAAAAGATTGATAAGAGCAAAGGAATAGAATTGGCATAAGTGACTGTCATTGTTCTTAGCTGATGAGAAGTGGAGTGGCTGATGGAAGTACCTAAATGATGCATTTGTCTGTGTGAAGGCAAATGATACCCCAGAGATCTAACCAAAGGTTTTGCAGCAGCCTAAAAACAGAGGAAAATTGGGAAGCGTGGGGAGAGTTGCACTGAATAATTAAGAGTGCTGTAAACTACCATGTGGCCATTAAAAATGACCTTTATGGAGTTTTTCCAAACTATTACTCTGTCGTGGGTTTTGGGTTTTGTTTGGTAATAGCTTCGCAGTGAAAGCTTTCATGACCATACAAATTATCTTTTCCCTGCCTATTTCCTTGTAGAGGTTTTTTTCCTCCTTGTCTTAATTTAAAGTCATAAAAATATTGTTATGTAGGACCATCTGTGGTTTAATTATAGTCCTTAATATTCATCTTCTCAGTATCCCTATCTGGTGTTAATAGTTATTCTTTCAAATTTTCTTTTCTGTTGAGAAATAAGTGAGTTTATGGAAAGTTTCCAATACTGTGGAAAAATTCTCTACCAAGTAGGATGAGAATTGCCTGTCAACTATGTCCTTAACCAGGTTAAAAGTGGTCAAAAGACAGGAAATAGAAAAAGGACTTGAAAGAAATCCATCGAAATATGAATAGCTGGAGTTAGGAAGTCCCCTTCTGTCGGCGTGTGTTCCCACCACGGCCCCTGCTCCCTGAGCCCTGACCCGTGTCCACTGCTCAGAGCCAAGTGTATTCCCTCCCGGCAGCCTTGAGCCGTCCTAGACTCTTGGCACATTTGTCTCTCTCATCCAAAGCCTTTCTTATTTTCTCACTCCTTTCATCTTGAATAGATAGTCCTTTTTCTTGGTATTGTATTACTGTCAGATACCTCCAATCCATTTTAGCAACAGAAATTGGTGAGAGCTAGAAACAGAAAACGGGAGAAACAAGATAGCCTGCGTGGATACCTGGAGTTGGGTGCAGCCACTAAGCTCTGCCACCTTCTGAGTGCTGGGTTCTCGTGTCCACGACACCCAGCCATCCCCCAGAATTCCTCTCCTGGGCCTTCCCCGCCACCCACCACAACCCCTTTAGGAGCTGGCTCAGCCCAGGCTTCCTTCTTCCCAGGGAAGACGCTGCCCTCCTGGGGCCAGGCCCTGCTGTCACAGGACTTCAAGCTGCTGTGCCGGGATGGCAGCTGGGCTGATGTCACTGAGTGGAGGCAGTGCCACCTGGCCCGGGTGCCTGCTCACGCCGTGGTGGTCCGGGCTGACACAGATGGGGGCCTTATCTTCCGGCTGCTCAATGAAGGCCAGGTGGGCTCAGGGTCCCCTGGTCCCCCCGCACAGCTTCCCGGGTGGTGCTGGGCCTTGTGGTTGCTCATCAGGGTGGGACCAGGAGGGGTGGGACCAGGAGGCACAGGACCCAGACAGAGACTGTCCTTGGGATGGGCCCCAGCCTCCGGTCAGGTCAGGAACCAACTGCTCTGGCTGACCGAGAGGAGGGCTGGCCACGAGAGGGGGACCCAGAGACTGAGGCACCCTCAGAGGAAGCTCCTGGTACTTGTGTCTCTACGAGCCAAAACCAGAACATATGAGCAAAAGTGACAAAACCAATGCCTTTCAAAGCACACCATTAACTAAATGTGGTAAATAAGGTTTTGCTAAAACCACTGCTTATGACAGCCGTATATTTCCAACTGCTGCTGCCCCGGGCTGTTTTGCCCCATCGAGGCTGCTATTGCCAGCCCCATGGCGTGTCCTCAGGACCCTCCCACCCCTGGCCACAGCTGAATGTGATGCTGGATGAACTCAGCGAAGACCCAGAACTGGCAGGGCCCAGGGGAAGGGGACGGCGGGTCGGGGGAGGTGCTGCAGAAGACGGAGGGAGGCCTCCCCGGGCCCTCAGAGTGGGTGCCTGGTCTGAGGTCAGGGAAAAAGGAGGTGGTGGCTGAAATGGGGGGAAAGGATGTGGCCTGTCAGCACCCTCACCACCCTGTACCCCACCCCTTGACACACTGAACAGCGTCTGTTCAGCCACGAGGGCAGCAGCTTCCAGATGTTCAGCTCTGAGGCCTATGGCCAGAAGAATCTGCTGTTCAAGGACTCCACCTCCGAGCTTGTGCCCATCGCCACGCAGACCTACGAGGCGTGGCTGGGCCACGAGTACCTGCACGCCATGAAGGGTCTGCTCTGTGACCCCAGCCGTAAGTCCACCTGTCCTGGCTGCTGCCAGCTCCAGCCCAGCTTGACCGTGGGCATGGCAAGGCTCTCTGGGAAAGTGGCCGGGGGAAGATGCTCACCAGGGAGGCCTGGGATGTGCCTCTCAGCCTCTGCGGGAACCTGTCATCTCAATCTGTCTGCCTCTGGGGCTTTGGGGAAGAAGCATCTCTTTAGCTGCATGGCCTGTTTCAGAAGCCTCACCCGGCCGCAGCGGGGTGGGATCCAGGCCATCAGAATCTGCCTTGAGAAGGGTCTCTTCGCCCCTCTATCCAGGAGCCAGGGTGTCCTATCAGTTCTTCTTCAACCTGTCACTGCTACTCCCCGTCTCCACCCCGTTGCTACAGCCCTGGCTCAGGCATTGTCTTCCGCCTGGACTATTGCAATAGTCTACAAGTCAGCTTCTTGCCTTTAGCCTGCATCCCATCTATCTTCCACCTGTAGCCAGGGAAATGGGTGCCAGACACTGAGTTATATACGTGACAGCCATGGTCTTCCTCAGGCCTCACAGCCCGGTGTAAGAGGTACAGTTGCCCCTTTTCTGTATGAGGAAGCAGGATCTGATGGTTAAATAACTTATCCCAGCCACACAGCTGACAGGAGAAAGGCCCAGAATTTCCCTTGGGTCTGACTCCAATCTCTTCCCCTGGCGGTACTGGCCTGACAGTGACCGCTGGCTTGCCCCACACCAGGGCTGCCCCCCTTCCTGCGCTGGTGTGTGCTCTCCACTCCCGAGATCCAGAAGTGTGGAGACATGGCTGTGGCCTTCAGCCGGCGGCAGCTCAGACCGGAGATCCAGTGCGTGTCAGCTGAGTCCCCCCAGCACTGCATGGAGCAGATCCAGGTGGGAGTCTCGCCCGCCCAGGGAGGGGCAGCTTGGGCCAGGTGGGCAGGTGGTGGCAGTGCTGGGTAGTTCTTCCTACCCACACCCCCTGCTGCCTGGGGAAGAGAAGACTGTCTCCTGCAACAAACCCACAGACTTGGGAGGAAGGCGGGGAGGAATGACCCGCAGGGACCAGCACCCCGCCCCAGGGAACAGACAGATAGGGATATGTCCCCTGGGGAGCCCGGGAGCTCCTTGCTGAGCAGGTGGGCAGGGAGCAGAAGGAGTGCTGGCCCAGCTGGGCACTGACATCCTGGAGCCTGGGGCAAGCCCCCTCCCCTTTCTAAATCTCAGCTTTCCCTTGTACAGTAGAGGGTGGGTATGGATTCTTGTTCAGCTTTTTTTTTTTCTCTTTTCCTAATTTTTCTAAATAATAATTGTGCATATTCATGACATACATAGTGATGTTTTGGTACATGGAATACATGGTGATCAGAGCAGAATAATAATTAGCATACCGTCATCTCAAACATTGCTCATTTCTCTGTGTTGAGAAAATGCAATATCTTCCGACCTATTTGAAACTATGTATCATGGTTAACTCTAGTTATCCTACAGTGCTATAGAACGCTGGAACTTATTCCTCTTAGCTCTTATTTTGTATCCTTAACACATCTCTCCCCGCCAGGCATGGTGGTTCACATCTGTAATCCCAGCACTTTGGGAGGCCAAGGCGGGTGGATCACTTGAGGTCAGAAGTTCAAGACCAGCCTGGCCAATGTGGTGAAACCCCATTTCTACTAAAAGTACAAAAAAATTAGCTGGGTGTGGTGGCACATGCCTGTAATCCCAGCTACGCGGGAGGCTGAGGCAGGAGACTCTTGGCAGTGAGCCAAGATCACGCCATTGTACTCCAGCCTGGGTGACAGAGTGAGACTCTGTCTCAAAAAAAAAAAAAAAAAAAATTCTCCCCATTTCTCCCTTCCCCCACCCTTCCCAGTTTCCAGTATCCTCTGTTTTACTTTTCACTTCCGTGAGATCAACTTTTTTTTTTTTTGAGAAGGAGTCTCACTCTGTCACCTAGGCTGGAATGCAGTGCTGAGATCTCAGCTCACTGCAACCTCTGCCTCCCGATTTCAAGCAATTCTGTCTCCACCTCCCAAGTAGCTGGGATTACAGGCATGCGCCACCATGCCCAGCTAATTTTTGTATTTTTAGTAGAGATGAGTTTTACTAAGTTGGCTAGGCTGGTCTCTAACTTCTGACCTCATAATCCGCCCGCCTCAGCCTCCCAAAGTGCTGGGATTACAGGCGTGAGCCACCACGCCTGGCCGAGATCAACTTTTTTTAGCTTCCACATATGAGTGGAACATAAGGTGTTTAACTTTCTGTGCCTGGCTTATTGCACATAACACAACGTCCTCCAGTTCCATCCATGTTGCTGCCAGTGACAGGATTCCATTCTTTTTTATGGCTAAATAGTATTCCATGGTGCATCTATACCACATTTTCTTTATCCATCCCTCTGTTGTTGGACACCTGAGTTGATTCCATATCCTCGCTATTGTCACCAGTGCTGCGATGAACATGGGGGTGCAGACATCCCTTTCCATAGGCTGATTTCCTTTTCTTTGGACAGATTCCCAGTGGTGGGATTACTGGACCATATGGTATTAAACAGATTGATTTGTAGTTTGTGGAGGGATATCCATACTGTTTTCCATAGTGGCTGTATGGGTTTATGTTCCCACCAACAGTGTGTAAGAGTTTCCTTTACTCTGCAACCTCACTAGCATTTGTTATTTTTTATCTTTTTGATAACAGACACCCTAACTGGGGTGAGCTGATACCTCATTGTGGCTTTGATTTGCATTTCCCTGATGATTAGTGATGCCTGCTGGCATTTTGTATGTCTTTGGAGAAATGTCTGTTCCTGTCATTTGCCCATTTTTAAGTTGGATGGATTTTGCTGTTGAGAAGTTTCCGTTGCATGTATATTCTGGATATTAATCCCCTGTCGGATGAGTAATTTGTAAATATTTTTTCTCATTCCCCCCAGAGATTGTCGTCATTTCACTCTATTGTTTTCTTCGCTGTGCAGAAATTTTTTTGTTTTATATAATCCCATTTGTTTATTATTGCTTTTCTTGCCTGTACCTTCAAGGTCTTTTCATAAAAATCTTTTCACAGACCAATGTCCTGAAGTGTTTTGCCTATATTCTCTTCAGCAGTTTTATTGTCTTGGGCCCTACATTTAGGGCCCTGATCCATTTTGAGTTGATCCGTGTGGAGGATGAGGGGTGGGGGCTTAGTTCATTTGGCCCTTGGACATTCAGCCTTCCCAGCAGCATCTCTTGAAGAAGAGATCACTCTTTTCCCAATGAGTGTTCTTGGAAACTTTGTCAAAAATTAGCTGGCTGCAAAAATGTGGGTTAATTTCTGGGTTTTCTATTCTGTATCATTGGTCTGTGTGTCAGTTTCTATGCCTCTATCTTTGCTCTTTTTGCTTAGGATTGCTTTGGCTATTCAGGGTCTTTTGTGGTTCCATACAAATTTTAGGATTGTTTTTGCTAATTCTGTAAAGAATGTCATTGGTATTTTCATGGGGAAGTTCAACATATTTGACAACACCATGCACTCGGAAATATATTTGATACCAATCACAATCTAGTACACAAAAACTTTTTTTGTTTGTTTGTTTTGAGACGGAGTTTTGTTCTTGTTGCCCAAGCTGGAGTGCAATGATGCAATCTTGGATCACTGCAACCTCTGCCTCCCGGGTTCAAGCGATTCTCCTGCCTCAGCCTCCTGAGTAGCTGGGATTACAGGCACATGCTACCACACCTGGCTAATTTTTTTTATTTTTAGTGGAAACAGGGTTTCACCATGTTAGCCAGGCTGGTCTTGAACTCCTGACCCAGGTGATCCACCTGCCTCAGCCTCCCAAAGTGCCAGAATTACAAGCATGAACCACTGCTCCCAGATAAACTTTTCTTTCGGATATAAATAAATGAAAAAATGTATATCCGGTATATACAGAGAGAGGACACAAACAGTACCCGCTATTTTCTATTGTATTCTATTCTAATCCTTTTTGTTCCTGACACTTGTCATGACCCGTGAAATCGATTTGGCCCCCATGAATAGCTCACCATCTGCAGCTAGAAATACTGGCCTGATCTCTAGTGCCCATTCAGCTCTTTCCTCATTTGCTTCTCTGCCTGGAGACTAAGGCCAGATGCAGAGGAGGCCCCAGAAGCCCTGTAGTCAGGGAGGAGGACTGCTGTGGTCACGATGTCCAGCCTCGGGCCAGAGCCCTGGCTATCAGCCGCTGGGTGCCCACACCCCCTAGTTTCTGTTTTCAGAGCAAGTAGGTGGGACCTGTTCAGGGGGTCCCCAAGCACAAGCTATAGCCCCTCAGCGGTGCCAACCTTGCCCAGATCAGAAAACCACACTGACTGGAAGGCCACAGTGAGGAGACTGGGCAGGAATACAGGGTGACCAGGCCTATGACAATATGATAATGACCATCGTGCAAGCTGACACTTCTGTGTGCCCCACTCAGTGAAGGCCACTCTTTGGGTCATCTCATGTAATTCTCATAACAGCCCCACTTTTGGGTCTGGAACTGGGGAGACAGAGGCTGGGAAAGTAACTTTCCCACGGCCACCAGCCAGGAAGTACTGAATGGGCTTCTCCCCACCACTTGGCCTGAGCCAGGCCGCAGCCCTGCCTCCACACTCCCAGATATTGGGAGTGGAGAACACCCCAGCCTCATGCCAAGGAGTGCCCAGGCCTGAGGTGGGGGTATTCCGGGAGCTTCCTCAGGGGCTGATGGAAGCCTGTCTTGTGCAGAGCTGAGCACAAGTGTGTGAAATGCTGACAGAGAAGCCGCTGCTGGCCCTGAGGAAAGGGCTTGGTGGGGGGTCTTTATTTCCCAGTGCCAAGCAGGCTGCCTTGTTGTTCCAAGAGCCCCAGAGCAGGAAGAGGTGCAGGGAGGGAGCTTTCAGCCCCTCTGAGTGACAGCCTCCTCTCAATCTGAGCTCACAGAGGGCCGGGAGCTGCCCAGGGGCCTGAGGGAAGGGAAGAGACTTGAGGGGCTCCTCAGAACCCCAGCAAAGGGCTCAAAGACCCTCAGTTCTAGCTTCTAAGGTTCTCAGAGAGGTGTCCAGTGTGGCTCTACACCCATTCCTGCCCTGCCAGTTACCCAGGGAAGGGACCATCAGCCAGAGGGCCCTGGGCTGCGGTGTAGGGTCTGTGTCCTGCCTGACAGCACAGTAGGAGGAGGTCTGGGCGGTGGGAAAAGGGCCCTTAGAGGTGCACCCTCCTGGCCCCAAATATCAGTACTACTGCCTGTTATTCCAGCACCATCACTTCATGCCTCTTCAGGAACGGTGTGGGACACCCTCCTGGGCCACAGATGTTCCCCACTCTCCCCCATCATCACCCCCTTCCCTTGAGGTTAATCACACTACTATGGCTTCATTACCAGTTAGCCCTTGATGGGGTCCTGGGGCTTCCGAATGAACAAGTGGGGTGGGTGCAGGTGACCTGGAGGGCCCCAGGAGGCTCCTGGGAAGAAGGCCCTGGGCGCCTCCTGCTGCCTCTGCAGGCAGAGCTCTATCCCTCAACCCTGGAACCCCTCCCCAGGCCCTGAGACTGCCATCTTTTCAGATCTGGGTCATTCTTCCATCTGTACACGCGTTTAGCAGACAGGCATTGCACCACAAGGTGTGTGGCCCTTGGCCAGGTGCTGGAGATGCGGTGCCTGGCTGTCTAGGGGCTGGCAATGCACAGGGAGGCCCACACTGAGCATGAGGAGAGGGATCGGCTTGCTTTGCTCAGAGCAGGCACACAGGGGACCCTGGGTAGCCACACGCAGGAGTGCTGTGTGGGTGTTTCCGCCCTTGGTCCTTCAGGCACCCCTCCTGACCAGGTAACTTCACATTGAGAGGAAGGGGCAGACCACCAGGATGGGGTATTTCCTATCCAGGTTCCCCAGGGGGAGGAAGCCCGTGGCCACAAACCCCAAGAGGCCAGGCCCTGCCACCTCCATAGGACCCCAACATCTAGAACCATCCAGGGCCCACCCCGGCCCAGTTGCTTCTTCTGTTCCCTTCAGGCTGGGCACATCGACGCTGTGACGCTGAGTAGCGAGGACATTTACACGGCGGGGAAGACGTATGGCCTGGTTCCTGCAGCCGGGGAGCGCTATGCCCGTGAGTGCAGGGCCTGCTGCCTGGCCTCAGCCGGGAGGTGGGGATATTTTTATAAATATAAAAATGTGTCCTCCTCATCATTTTCAAAAGCTCCATGCCTCTCTCCTGGGGATAGAAGCTGTCTGTCACCAGGCCTGCCCCTCCTGCCCCAGACCTCAGTTTCCCCAACTATTCAACAAACGTCTCTAAGGGGTTGGCAAACTTTCTGTAAAGGATCAGAGGACAGATACTCGAGGCTTTGCAGATGACAGTCTCTCTTTAAATAACCCTTTCAAAATATAAAAACATTCTTAGCTTACAATCCAGGCCGTATGAGAGAAGGCCTTGTGGTTTGCCATCTTGGACTACTGGGGTTCCTCAGCCTCTTCTGGCCCTAACCAGCCATGGAAGACAGCCCTTCAGAGTCCCTCAGCTCATTCGCACCTTCTCAGGGGCCTGGGCTGGGGCTTTGGCCTCTGTCTTCTTACTGGTGACCTCAGAGGCCTGAGTCCCTTCCACTTGGGTGTGAGAAATCTCTGGGCTATGGGAAAATGCTTCTGCAGCCTCATCTTTCCTCCCAGGCAGTGAGAAAAATACCACTTGGTATAAGGAAAGAAAGAAGTCCCTGTGGTTAAGGACTGCCGGGGACCAGAGGAAGACAAAGCTGAAAAGTGGAGCCGGGAGGTTGCTTCTCACAAGGGACGCAGGCAGGGGCCCCACTGGGCCTGCTCCTGGAGCACCCCAGCCTCAGGCCTGGGCACTCTGGCCTGCACAGCTCAGGCAAAGAGCCAGGAAGGAGAGGGTTTGAAGGAAGGACCCCATAGGCACTTGCCCTGGCTGTCAGATGAGGGGCCCCTCACGTGAGTCCCTCTCTCCCCAGCGGAAGACAAGAGCAACTCATACTTCGTGGTGGCCGTGGTGAAGCGGGACAGCTCCCACGCCTTCACCTTAGATGAGCTTCGAGGCAAGCGCTCCTGCCATGCTGGCTTCGGCAGCCCTGCGGGCTGGGATATCCCCGTGGGCGTCCTCATTCGGAGAGGCTTCATCAGACCCAAGGACTGTGACGTCCTCACAGGTACCCCCCTTTTAGGAACGCAGACTGGGGAAGCCTTCTCTGGGATTGGCTAGGGACCGGCAACTAGTTGGGGAGGGGACCTTGTTGGAAGGTGGCCAGGCATGTGCATAAGTGCCCAGGTATCTCCACAGGTGGGGACAGAAGCCCCCACCATATGCTGTACATGAAACCCTTCCCATGTATTAAATCACACAACATCCATGGAAACTGGCAAGATCCTTGGGCTGACGGGCACACACCTCTGTCCTGGCTGTTAACTCAGAAAACATACCAGCACTTCTTTTCCAACCACTGACACAAGCACAACGGAGGGCACTAGGGTTGGCGGCTCCCACTCCCAGACAGCTGGACAGTTGCTCTGATTGGAACAAAATAGTGAGGTAGTGAGTTCCCTGTCTCTGAGGGAGTTCAAGTGAAGGCTGGGTGGTGATGTTTGGTGATGGGGTTCCTGTATCTAGACAACCTCTGCATTTTCCCCTTGATGAGATCTTCCAGGAGGAGACACTCCACTGAGAGCTAAGAGGGGAGCGGAGCAGACAGGTGGCCTTGCAGCATAGGCCCAGGCGGGTGGGCAGATCTGTGGGGGAGCAGCCACCCATCTCCCTGCCACACTTTCCGCTGCTGGCCCCTCATCATTGCCCTTCCCCTCCACCCCAGCGGTGAGCAAGTTCTTCAATGCCAGCTGCGTGCCCGTGAACAACCCCAAGAACTACCCTTCCTCACTATGTGCGCTTTGCGTGGGGGACGAGCAGGGCGGCAACAAGTGTGTGGGCAACAGCCAGGAGCGATACTATGGCTACAGCGGCGCCTTCAGGTACTAGGGTGGCCTGGTGGTCTGGGGCTATGTGCAGAGGTTGGGACCCTCCTGCCAACGCCTGCCCTGCCCTCTGTGTGGCAGGTGCCTGGTGGAGAATGCTGGTGACGTTGCCTTCGTCAGGCACACGACTGTCTTTGACAACACAAATGGTAGGTAAGGGCCAGAGCAGGGCTAAAGGTAGGTCGGGGGGACTGTCCCCATCCTCAGCACAATACAGACACCAGGTGTGCTGGGTTTGGGCCAGGCAGCAGCTCAGAGAGACTGAGTCTAGACCGAGCCTCCTGGGAAGCTGGGAGCCCCACAGAGTAAGAACAGACTTCAGACCACACATCCAGGGGTGCTGGACACATGACTGTCTTCACTGGTTTGGAATTCAAGTCCCTAATCCACTGAAATGGTAGAAACTCAATCCCAGTCCATTTGGAAAGACCCCCTTCTGAGGGTATTTATGTAGTGCCAAGGTGTGAGGTGGGGGTGGCATGAGCCTCTCCACAGGGTCATGAGTTCAATCAGTATCTGGTCTGTGTTCCTGAGCACATCACTGCCTCATGCAAGGAAATCTCTCTGCAGTCCCCAAGCCACACCGAGGCAGAGCACACCTGAAACCACACAGATTTCTTCCTGGAGTCACCTTCCCGGGCTCCACCTGGGATAAACAGCTCAGGAACGCTCTGCTCTGGGACCCCCATACATACACGGACCCATCGTAGCACGCGGTCCTAACGTAGCATCACTTCCCCCTATTCTTGTTCTCTGTGAAGGAATCTGTGTCCGTTTTGAAGACTAGAGGCTATTTTCCTCCAACACCAAAGGCTTGTACTTTCTGCATATTCTGCCTACACCCCAGGCTTTGAAACCACAAAGGCTGGAGGCTCAGTCTTCTCCACTGGCTCCCAACGCATCTCCTTCTAGAAACTTAGCCCAGAAAGGCACAACTGTGGCCTGGGGGGGAGGGGATTGGACAATGGGAAATGAGACTTGCAGGGAAAAAAAAACTCAAAAAACATCAGTATTTCAACACTTGGATCTTGCCTCCTGTGGAAGTCAAGGCGGTAGAACCATTTGCCCCAGCAGAGCTAGGGAGGGCTCCAGGCCCTGAACCCTTCCTGTTGCCACAGCCCAGCTTCCCTGCCCAGCCTCCTACCAAGAACACCTGAACCCTCCCCCAGGAGGAGGGAGCTGTGTGCTCCTGCATGAGCCCGGTGAGCCTGCCTGGTCCCAGACCTGTGCACGGTGTGGTCTGGGATGGGGTCAGGGGAGGAGGGCAGGTGCTCGGGAGGCTTTGGAAGATTCCCTTGCAGTGAGTCACCCACCCCCCCAGGACCTCCCACTCTTTTCCCTTTTATCTTTAGCTCTCCTTGAGGCCCACCCAGATTTCCTGGAAATGGGAGGAGGATGGACACTAAGTGAATGCTCAGAGACACAAAAACATGATTCTGAGGGCAGCATTTTCTCAGGAAGCCCTGGGACCATCTGCTTTAGAATCACTGGGATGCTGGTTTAACATGCAAATTTCTGAGCCCCGTCTGAGACCTTTGCAGATTCTTTGCAAGCAAGGGCCCCTGAAGCTGCCTTTTACATCCACAAGTGATGCTACACCCTGTTCCACTTGAGAACTTCAGCCTTTAGGGGCAATCACCCACCACCTTCAGGGTGCCGCCCCACCCTCAGGCTTGAGGATGTAACACATAGATGGGGTTCTCTGCCTGGGAGTGACTAACAGCCTCAGTTTCCTCACCTATAAAATGGGGACAACAACACCTGTCCAGCATAACTGTTGTGAGGATCAAGCAATGCTTCTAAAGCGTTGGTCACATAGTAGGTCTTCCCTCCTCCCTGCTAATGGCAGCTCCTGCTAATGGCATTAACACAGCTGGGTTCTCTCACCCTGACAATATAGCAGAGCACTTGGAGAACAGAGAGGGTTGGGTGCTGACCAGAGGTTGCCACCTCCCTGTAGTGAAGGACTTGGGGGACCCAGGATAGCAGCCTCTCTTTACACTTCCTCCCACTCCCCTGAACATCTCCACATACAATGTTTTACCTCCCCAGGCCACAATTCCGAGCCCTGGGCTGCTGAGCTCAGATCAGAGGACTATGAACTGCTGTGCCCCAATGGGGCCCGGGCAGAGGTGTCCCAGTTTGTAGCCTGCAACCTAGCACAGATACCACCCCATGCTGTCATGGTCCGGCCAGACACCAACATCTTCACTGTATATGGACTGCTGGACAAGGCCCAGGTGAGCCAGGGTGGGGCTGCCTCACTGAGGGGTATGCAGCAGGGGTAAGATAAGCCCCTGGGAAGAAACAGACCTGGAACAGACCTCTAGAGAAACCGGGGAAGCGTGGGGAAAATTCTGTGATTTTCACTTACTCAAGGACATCCCTTTGGAAACTATCCCCTCTGTCTCCTGCATCACTGATTTTCCCTTCTCAGATGGACCATTTTCACCAACATGAAACATGCTGTTATTTCTGCCATCCTTAAAGGACATACTAACCCCTCTCACATCCATCCTCTTGCAGCTGTAATCCTGCTCCCGTTCAGAGCAAAACTGTGAAGAGTGGTCTCTGGAGCTACAGTCCTCTCCTCTGGTCTCTCTTAAGGATGCAGACTACCCCAGACAGGTTCCCAATAGGGCCCTGAAGCTGTTCTTGTCAAGGTCACAGTGAACCATGTTGCTAAAACCAGTGGCCATTTCTCAGTCTTCATTTTACTTGACCTCTCAGCAGCACTGGCCACAGCTCTGCCTCCTCTGGTAAACACCTTCCCTGGCAGGCTTCCAGGTCCCCAGCCCTGCCTGGCTCTTCTGTCACCTCTCTCGACACTCTTCAGTCTTCTTTGCTGATTCCTCCTCATCTCCTGACCTGTTAGCCCCAGGATTCAGTTCTCAGCCCTCTTCTCTCTCTCTACACCTGACTCTTGATCTTGTCCAATCCCGTGTCATCCAATCCCATCTATATACAGACAGCTTCTAAGTTTACATGTTTAGTCCAGACCTCAGCCCCAAACTTGCATATTTAACTACATACCTGACATTTCTACTTGTGATTCTAACAGGCATCTCAAACGGATCAAGTCCAGAGTTGGACTCCCGTTCCTCCTTCAGTCTTCCCCTCTTTAGTTAAGAGCAACTTTAGCCTTTCCATTTCCTCAGGAGTCATTTTTGACTCCAGTCTTCCTCTCATGTTCTATATCCAATCCATCAGCAAATCCCATTGGCTGTGCATTCAAAATACACTTAGAATTTAAACCCGGGTTGTCTGACAATGGAGCCACTGGTTTCTAACCACTCCCCCTCCCCCAACTGACTTGAGCTGAACTTGCCTTCTCCACACCCACCAGCAGCACAGAACTGCAGAGCTGGCTGGCTCGTCAGGCCTGTTCCTAAACTTTAACATTTTGAAATTATGCGTGTTCCTCTCATCTTCCCCACAGAACCCCTCTATCCCAGGAGTGATTTACTCTGAGTCCCTGGGCTTCCCTAAAGGGTTCTTAAGTCCTCTGAAGTAGTGTGGGAGAAGAATCCTGGGTGGATGTGCATTTTTCTGGGGAGAAGGCTGACAGCTTTCCTCAGATCTTAGGGAGGATCTGCGAGTCCCCTCCAAAAAGGCTGAGAACCACATGATTCCTTTGTCCTTCTTGATCAGTACTTAACACTTGATGTAGACATTCATACATGTTCTCCAGAAGTCCTTTATTTATATTTATATTCATAAGTTCCCATACTACTTCTGGTCTTTTTAGTAGCTTTTTTTTTTCTTTTTCTTTTTCTCTTTTTTTTTTTTTT